ATGAACTTGCACCGTATCAATGAAAATCATGTATAAATCTTGTTCTAACACTAATTCTGTCAAACACAAGAGATGAACCGCTTCTATGGTTTATCGTCTAGGTATAAAATGAAATTGATTTTCCAGAATTTTAGTTTATCTTCATAAATGTTGTTCAATAGCTTTCTCTTCTTTCAAGGTTATGCTTAATATACCTAATAGTTCCAGCATTCGGGTGTAGGAACAAGAAGGATTGCACAATTGTATGATTTTCTCATCAAAGTTTCATATGAAATTCCTTTTCTTTTTCATATGAGGGTTAAAGCTATTAAAGATGTATGATACACTGACATTTGTCCTTAAGTTTGGCTGTTAAGAAGAATGCCTTTATTAGTTTCTAATTTGCAATTTGAAGAATGGAAGTCTAGTGATTTAGCCTCGTTGTAAATTAAGTTTTTCTGTTACTGGTTGATTATTGAAGATGAAAGTTGACTTTTAAATATTACATGTGGTAAAAAAACAGAAGATGTGCTCTCCAACACTTTCCCAACTGAATCCTTAATGAATTACAGCAAATGGGAAACCATGCCTTTTGAGAGCTTAATTATAAGCAAATAGAAGGGGTTTCTATGCACAGAATAGATGGTAACAAATTGGACGATCTAGTATGCGTGAGGCATACCCCACACAATCTGAGGGCTAAGAAATGTTACAGGTTGGTACCCATTTATATTCTTTTTGGTGGGTATGACGGCAATGAGATGATGACCGGCCCTAATAGTGATATGTCATTTCGAATTTGGTGAGATGTCGAACGGTACTACCGAATGCGTTCCCTGCCTGAAGCATTGCACATGCTTCCGATGCAGAAAATGCCATGGAAGACACTTTGCTCCCAGTGATCACTGGTGTCACGAGCTGCGATTACGTGCTACAGGTATTGGTTTTGCTCACTTCTGTCTTTTATGTTTTATGGTTTGGAGATGGCAATAAAGGGGTGGTGAGGTCTTCGAATAATATCTGAATAGAGGGCAGGACAGTCGCTGGAGTTGCGGAAGATGGATATATGAGATGTTCGAAATTTCAAATCCAAATATGTTTGTGATTACGTGTAGGGGTGCACAAAAAATCCGAATATCCGATTTTGCGAAAAAAATATCCGAAACCGGATTTGGGAAAAACCGGTTTTTTTTAACCGGATCGGATTTTTTTTAAACCGGTTATTTTAACCGGTTTGGAGAAAAAAACCTAGACCGGTTTTTTTACCGGATAAAAAACCGGTTTAAAAAAAACCGGTTTTTATCCGAAAAAAAAACCGGTATAGGTTTAAAAAACTAGCCATTAATATAGCCGTTGGGGGGGTTTTGTGACCGTTTTTGACCGTTTTTTTCTTTAAAAAATTACCATTTTACCACCCTAAACATGTATAAATAGATTGGGGATGTATTTGGTTGATTACAAATTTCTCAAATCTTATTACACAACACTTAAACATCTCTCAAATCTTACTTTTGTAATTTTTTTGTTCATCATGAGTAACACGGCTGAATCTTCCGTCGGGGGAAACCTTGAAGTCGTGAGAGTGATCGAAACAAAGACATTTGGGATCACTACGATTTATGTGAGATGTCAAATGGCTCGAGGAGGGCGCGTTGTAAACTTTGTCTAAAATTTCTTGCATCGGAAGGAAACACAACGTTGAAGAACCATTTGACAAAATCATGCAAGGCACTTCGCTCAAGATCGGATCCTAGTCAATCGAATCTTACACCGCAAGGTGGTGTTTTTGTTTACGACAACGAAAAATTACGAGAAGCGTTTACAAAGTTCGTGATTACAAAAGCATTGCCGTTCGACCACTTTGATGATGAAGATTTCACGATAACAACTCAACAACTAATGCAACCGCGTTATACTCAAGTAAGTCGTACTACCCTTAGAAGAGATGCTATAAAAATGTGGCGTACAGCGAGGGAAAAAATGATTTTAGGATTCCAAGAACACCGTTATGGTGTGTCGCTTACATGTGACGTTTGGAGTTCCCCTCATAATACCGGAAATTCTTTTTTAGCCGTTACGTCACATTGGTTAGATCAAGATAATTGGCAAATGATGAAAAGAACAATCGCGTTTGAATTATTCGGTGAGCCTCATACCGGTGCTAATTTATTTACACTTTTAAAAAGGGTAATTTGTCTTTATAAATTAGAAAATAAAGTTTTTTCTATATCCTTTGATAATGCATCGAATAATACAAACGCGGTTCCAAGATTGAAAATATTACTTTCACCGATTTTAGACGGTGCGTTTTTTCATACCCGTTGCGTTGTACACATAATTAATTTATCCGTGCAAGCCGGTTTGGAGGTTATTGAGCCGATTAGATTAGAATTTAAAATAATGATAAAATCGGTTCTTTGTAACAACAACAAAAGACTAAATGATTATAAACGATTTTGTAAGTCCGTTAATAAAAAAGCTTTGGGTCCTAATTTGGATTGTCCAACTCGTTGGAACTCAACTTGGATGATGATGCATACTGCCTTAAGGCAAAGGGAAACATTGCAAACATTTAACGATCGGCTTTTCGAGAGGGGTCATGTCCCAAACATTTATCCGGATTCGAGTTGAAAAACTATAGCCAAAATAATCGATTTGCTTAAGGTTTTTAAAAATGCAACAACTTTTTTATCCGGTGTTTATTACCCTACTAGCCCATTGGTTCTTAATCAAATATTTTTGTTGGCTACCCGACTAAATGACATTGAATTTGAAACCGAAGTTTTTCAAGAAATTGGCTTTGCAATGAAAGAAAAACTTTTAAAATATTTTAAGGAGATTCCCCCATTTTTACTTGTGCCGCCGCTTTAAACCCAACGTTAAATGTTGGTGGGGTTGAAACACTAATTGAACAAATTGCGTTTGCTTTTAATCTAACCGATGATGAACCAAACTTTGTCCAAAACCAAATAAATTATTTTAACAAATGTTTTTGAGACATGTTTGCAATTTATTTAACTAAATACGGATCAAGTAGTGTAATACACGATCAAATGAGAATGAATGCGGAATCATCTAGTAGATGTCCAAGTAACATAAATTTGAATCTTTTTAACACTCTTGTAAATTCCCAATCCAAACGATCACGTACTACCACCCCATGTAGCGAGTTGGGAAATTATATGTCATGCGATTTTCTATCAAAAATGACATTTGAAGAGTTTGAAAGTTTGGATATTTTGGCTTGCTGGAAAGAAAAGGAAGCACAATTTCCGATTCTAGCCGCCATGGCCCGTGATTTACTAACCGTCCAAGCTTCTACGGTAGCTTCGGAATCCGCTTTTTCTGTTAGTGGCAGGGTTATATCGCAACGGAGATCAAGACTAAGTCCCGAGTCGGTGGAAGTATGCATTTGTTTAAAGAATTATTTGGATGGAGCGGCTCGTAAGCAACATATCACCACCCTAGAAGATGCAATTGATGCCGATTTGGAAGCAAACTTACACATTGAAGAAGTCGAACTTGGAATATCCCCTCCAAACGAAGAAGGCGAAGATGATGAAGAAGAGATGGCAATGTAGTTTATTTTATAACTTTATTTCAATTATCGTAAACTTTATTTCAATTATCGAACTTGAAGTTTTTAAGTATTTGAATCTATCGAACTTGGAAGTTTTTAAGTATTTGAATTTATCAAACTTGGAAGTATTTAAGTATTTCAATTATGTTGAGTTAATTAAGTATTTCAATTAAGTATTTGAATTTATCGAACTTGAGGTTTGATGCTTTCTCTTTGATTCTCTCTTGATTCTAGTTGCTTGATGTTTCTTGTCTTTGATCAATGGCTTCTAAGCTTGCTTAAATACACCTTGAATCACTTCTGAACGTTAGTGATAATTAATGAAGATAATATAGCCGTTTAAATGTGAAAACATTTAATAAAAATGCTTGGAGCGTGGGGGAATCGGTACCCTCTCATAGGGAATCGGTTTCCTCTCATAGGGAATCGGTTCCCTAAGTGTAAAATTCAAATATTTCGACCGTTGAATATGGGGGAATCGGTACCCCCTATGGGGGAATCGGTTCCCTCCGAGCATTCTGGAAATCTCGGAGTCAAACCATTCAGTGAGGAATCGGTTCCCTATGAGCAATCTGGAATATTAAAATCGGTTTTTTTATAACCGGTTTTTTTTAAAAACCGGTTTTTTTAAAACCGAAACCGGTTACACCGGTTAGGATATCCGGCCCTCCAAACCGGTTAAAAACCGAACCGGTTATTTTATAAACCGGTTTTTTTTCTATGAGAAAAAACCGGATCGGATAAAAACCGATCCAGATCGGATTGAAATCCGACAAATGTTCATCTCTAATTACGTGATATCCACTTTTACATCCATCAACATTTCCTCTTAGTTGATTTGTAAAACTATATGCATATGAATTATTGGGGGTAATTTTACATTTTGAAATTATATTATTATGTTTGGATGAAGATTATTTTGAGTCGGTAATATGATATTATCAATACTATAAAATCATACATATAACAAGGTTTAAAAAAAAACAGGGTAAGTGTTCATAGAGGTACTTGATGTTTAAAGATATTTATAACTGCTGGCAGGCCATAGTGAAACCCATACTACCCAGAAAAGGTAAAAGACTGATCTAGGTTCTCCATAAATAAAAGTAGGAAATATGCATTGGTTTATTTCAGTCTGACCAATTTCTGTTTCTCTTTGTCCATGGTTGTTTTATGGATCTAATCAAATGAAAGATGCATTCAGTTTCGATTAAGATGAGCTTTTTTTTGCATAACATGTATATGGTGGTTGATTGGGGGCTTATATATGTACATGCAAACCAAAGCGCCAAGAAATATTCTCTTATTACTTCATTTTCCCCTACTTAAATGTTTGGATGGATTAATATATGGTGATTTAGTATAAACAGAAGCAGAAACAATTATTCTATGTAGTATATTTGTGCCAGTAATAGAAAAGTTCTTAAGAAGAAACCTAGTGTGGAAAAGAGAAATATTTTTAAAATTGAAAAATGTTTGATAAATGGAATGCATTACCGAATGGTGATTACAAGACTTCTTTCGATGAACTTGGCGCCTCCTACCTTCCCCTGCATTTCCGGTGGCAGAAAAATGACTCGTCTTTGGTCCCCTGCTTCCACCAACAACTCCGATCCTCCTCTATACTGCACTTGTCATGTAATGAAGAGTCATCAGCGTAATTGAGCACAATATAGGTGATACCGTATTAATAACATGTGAGGAACAAAGCACTCCCAAAATCATTTCCAATAAAACATTTGAACTCTTAGCAGAATCTGACAAGCTAAGATGCTTATATGTTGCTGAATAAATTCCTAAACGGCAAAACCTCTTAACAGGAGAGGTTTCTATTAAAGAGTATTTTCAGAGAGGAAACCTTGAAAACTATCAGAGAACTTGAGGGAATTGAAGGAATCAGAAGTGAACATACTTGATATAGCTTGATCTCTGACTTCTCAAAACCTGGCATGAGAAGGGTTACTGATTTTCCTGCTGTGTCAAAATTTATGGATGGTACCATGCTATGCTTTTGGCCTGCTGGCAAAGAAAGAAGGTCCCTTGCACCTTTAGCAGTACTTTTCGGCATGATGGCATTCCAATCTTGAGGGGAACCCATTGAAAGATTTGGAATAAAAGCAAAAGACAAGGGAGAAAAGTCCTTCTTCATCTTTTCCACCGACTCAACATCCAAATGAGGGGTAGCGACGGCAAATGCACCAGAAACCTGAGTACCAGCTTGAATTGCGCAACCCCAGTAACGTAATGCTGAACTCATAGACATTGAAATGTTCGGGTTCATCACAAGAAAGCAGCCACATTGATAAGGTTGGGAAAAGGTAGAAGATCCTCTCTGCACAACTTACAGTCTCTCAAAGTCTCATTTTATCTACATAAAAGCTTGGTGAATAGTAAAATGAAATCCATGGTTACCTCGAGAATTTGTTCCAGACTGTCCCATATTTCAGTACTGAGTGTTCCATTGAGTTGGGATGACTTCTCACTTATGCCCATCGCATTATCGAAAAGTCTCAGGAGTGAAGGTCCGGCCAATCTCCCGAGATCAGTTTTCTCAGCCATGCTCCGCAAGTACTTCAAGTAGAGTCTGTGTATAAGATCATTTTAGGCAAAAAGAAAATTCTGTGTCTATTTTCTGAAGGGGGCTAGGTGAAGAGGAGACATTTATTTCCAAACCTTGCTTTACTGTTTGCACCTATCATTCTGAGGGTTTCTTCGGTGCTGATACCATCATATATGATAATGTCAAATTTATCTTTGTGATGGTTGTTTCGAGCCCATTTCCCAAATAATCCGAGAAGCCTCACAACCGCAAGTGCTGAAAAGATGGAATCCATCCCAGGAAGCACCCCAAGCTCTTCTCCAACAACCTACTACATGCTAAATCAAGATACATAGTGAAGCAGCATGCAGACATACAAAAAACACACCCAAAGTAAGGAAAAAGATATATTACATACACACCCCTTCTAGTACTCCCTGTGTCAAATTAAGACGTGAATCTGCTTGCTTCAGCTGATTGAGAGGTTCAAGAAGCATCTGCAGTACAACAAATAATCCATTCTTAGCATAAACCCATTGGAATCAAGACTTTTCATTAGTCGAAACGAACACAAAAGAAACTTACTTTAGTTGTTTCGAGCCGGACAACTGAAAGGTTGTCGCTGCAGAGAACAGGAGATGAGACGATCTTACAATTGAGAAGACACTCAGCAGTTCGATCCTGTCCTTGTAACACTAAGCATGTGCTCAGTCCAGCCATTGCATAATGCTAGGAAACACAAAAATGAAGGTGGGATGGTAAAAACAAATACATTAGATGATAATACTTGGAAAGGGATGGACCGAGGGGCAGATGGGGCAGTCGCCAACATGAAATTTTCAAATCCTTTATATTTTCATTTGATAATATGTTATGAATCTCTAAAATTTTATGATTTTTATCCCAATAATAAATTCGACTCTAACATAAAATTTCACATCCATGGTTATCCCAGCACTCACACTAAAGTTCTTAGTTGATAAGACAACCTCAACAAAGAGGTTACAGATAAAGAATTTAGCAAAGCTAATTCCTCCGGTTAATAATCTTAATTTCACAACGCGATTTTAAACCCTTTATGAATCTGGAATTGATAGTTCCAAATTTTCCTAAACATCAGCTTCAGCTTTCCGATAATTTATCACCAAACTATCTATCTACTTTCAAACGTAGAAAGCAGTAAAAAACTATATGTAAAAAGATAGAAGAAAAGTAACAACCTGGGCAGCGAAAACAGAGGAGGTGGTCTTGCCGGAACCACCTTTTCCTAAGAAGGATATCAATCGTGTAACAGAAGAATCGACATTGTCATCGCCATTGTTGTTGATGGAAGAAGCCGCCTTAACAACTAGTAGTTGAGATGTTGTTCTTCGCGAGGAACCGGAAAGGCGGGAGTTGAAATTAGGGTGAGGGAAGAGGACCAGGGAAGAACAGAGAAAAGAGGACATTTTTCCTTTTTCATTTCTTCAAACAATTTCAACATTACATGCACTTTTGTAGTTTGCAATTACAGAAGGATGTAGAGACGGATAATGGATTCATTATCGGGAAGTGTTCATACGACTGGCTGTTTCCGGCGGGCCCAATTTCACAGATCCCGGCCCGGCCACATCACACAATACTTAGCATTGTACTACTAAATAGGGATAGGCACATATCGAGTTTTGATTTGGTCTGATTTTATTGGGTTTGATACTTTTGGGTTCGAGTTAGGTCCAGTCAGGTTTTTTAAAAATTATTTTTAGATTTTATTAGATTCATGTTTAGGGTGAAAAATAACCTACTCGATCCAAAAAATTAATTTTATTTTATATATTTAGAAATAATTGTAATAAGTCTCCTCTGTTAACTAAATTCTTATTTTTTATTGAATAAAAATATTTTTTTATAAATATATTATTTCGGGTGGGGCCGAGTCGGATTTGAGTTTTATCTCAAAAAGAAGGGTCAGATTTGGATCGAGTAGAGGGTGTATAATTTTTGGATCGAATTCAAGTCGGATGAAGAGTATATAATTTTCGGATCGGATCGGATCAGATCGGATCGATTTAAAACCGAATCTAGCCCAATCCATATCCATCCCTACTACTAAAGGCAATTATGGGTAAGAAAATTATGTTTATCGCTTATACTTGAATTGCTAAATATTCTGTTGTTTAAAATTTTTATATTTATGTGATAAAAGCTTAGAATACATAAATTGTAAACCTATCAATTAGTTTCAATCATTAAAGAAAGTGTTGTTTTTTCTATAGATCCTAAATTAGTGATTGTAATGATTAAAATGAGTGTTGTTCTCCCTAAGTTCTAAACGGATGATCTTTGTGGTTAAAGAGAGTGTTATTCTCCTCAGAGGTTTGAAGTTAAAACAGCTGATGCGTCTGCAGATGTGTACGTTGTAAATAGCTAAGAAATATTTTGAATAATTTTTTTAAGTAATTAAATAAAAAGTTATATACTTTGAATATTTGCATGTGATATAAGACTTTTAAATATGATATAGTAAATCTTTTGGAAAAAATATTTATATTTCAATATTAATGTTTGTTAACACCAAAATAAGATTAATTTAGTCAATCAAATTTGTGGTGTAATGGTGAGGAATATGGATGATAGTTTTAGTTATTATTGATATTATATCGGTGTTCAATTTCATACAAAGAAAAAAATTCATTAATTTTAATTCAATCAAAACTAAATGAATTAAACTTAACTTTTTTAAAACTTTGAATTCAAGCTAATCTTGTTCCAGCTAATTTTATAATAAACAGAAGATATTTAAAATTACAATAAAAATTTATGTCAAAAATCGTAAATTAGACATATAATTGAGATATTATCCTAAAATCATTAAAAAAATAGTCACTCAAGATCATACCAGGACCATACAAGGAAAAGATGAAAATCTCATCCATAAAACTCAAACAATGGGTAGATACAAACAAATCTGACGGCTACAACAAACGAACTATAATAGGAGATTTCTACTACTGAAAGACCACTGACAAAATACAAATCAAAGCCAAGCATCATGAGATAATAATCTATGACGTAGCTTGCGTATCTAAATCTAATTTGAGGGTCTAAAACAGGGAAGATCAGCGGGATAACAAATTAACGCCATCTTGATCAGCCATGACGACATCAAATCCAATATTGAGAGAAAACAAATAACAAACGAACAAAAAAGAAATTAAAAAAATGTGCCAAGAGATATAGAAAAAGTATGCTATGAAAACATAAGATTCATAGGAATTTGTGCCATAAAGAAAATATTATTAAAAAAAAGAAAAAACAAAAATGCAACATAAAAAGAAAAACTGACGACAAAAACCATCACCAAGGTTGGTGCCGCCGCTGCTAATGAAAGAAAGATTGAGACAGAGAAAGTAAAAGGCAAACCGCTAGGTTTTCTCCACCTAGATACATATTTGAAATTTAAAATCATATTTTTTTGAACATATAACAAGATCCATCATATTTCATCTTCATCAAACTAGTTTTTGGTTTATTTATTATTATCATTGTTGTTTTGTAATTCATTAATATCGATATTTGTGTAACCCCCTCAGGTCGATAAGGGTGATATGATCCAATCCGAGATGTCACATTAGGGCCACTGTAGTCACCCACGATAAAAATCCAGGAAAACTTATTTTTTATTAAACCTTTTAAAACTGTAAAACAATTATAAATAAATAAATACAAGTTTGGAAAATCGTTCACATATTAAAACATAATTTCAATCATACACAACATCATACAAGTTTCAGACTTAGTATCAAAACAAAGGTCACTTACATGCCCCTCTAATTACACATGTACTGTACTCTGCAAACAACATTGAAGGAACTCCTATTATTGATGTTGATACAACACATGATCAATTCCTTTAACATGAAATGGTAAATAATAGATAGAGCTTAGGAAAGCTCAATAATACAGAATTACCAGATGATGTTAAAGGTCATATAGATATAGCGAAGCATGAAAATTTCCTTAGTTATCCAGACATATACGGATCATAGTGATGAGTTGAGGTTTCACTAATGAATTCTTCAGGTAATCGTCAGTAAACTTGCAGTTCAGAAGAAACATTCAAAGAGACGAATTCAAAAGATGGAGTTAGAGGGTCTAATGTGTTCCAAAAAACCAAAAATAATAATTTATTTCAGTAAAATAGATTTTTAAAAACACGTTAATACCCTCCAACCAAACACTCCATATGCAGTTCCCCATAACTGCATCTATAAGGACTTACCCTAGGCCTATTAGGTGTAGGAGCCCATCTAAGGGAGTACCTTGGGGCCTTAGAGCCTACCCAAGGGATGGGGCTCAAGAGCTTACCCAAGGGTCACCTTAGGTCCGTAAGGAATTACCAGCTTAATCAGAGTTGAACTTCAGAACTCTAGAAATCCACCCAGACGGTACCCCAATAAAAAAACCAGATCATATATATAGTAAGCAGTAACCATTAATATCAGAGATCAGGAGCCATATGCATTATACATAAGAAAATAGAGATCAGAGATCAGGTTTTTATTTCATATATCATAGTCATACTTTTTATAATCAAAGAAAATATCTTTGTTGTAACACCTTTTGACCGTATACGTCCCCGAATACGAGTTAGAGATGTCAATTGCTTTTAAAATAATTTTTTATTCGAAAAACATTAAAATTTAATAACATTATATAAAACGCTATTCCATTCCTAATATATAAATAGCATTTATATATATCATAGTAGTTTAATTTCGCTAATAAATATAATACTACAAACCATATTTCCAATATTCCTACCAGAGCATCATAACATTACTAAGTGCATGCCAACTAGTAATATCAAAAGAATATATGGAGATGCCATACTGTTACTGATGAGGCAACCATTGACAGAAGATATCATCTGCACTCCTCACTCTGATAGTACACTATTACCTATGCGTGAAACAATCACACGCTAAGTATTCACTTAGTGAGGCATATTAAAATAAGACATTTTAAAAATATTAGTTAATCATAAAAGATCAAAACATGATTTAAATCATATAAAATATATAGAACGCATAAAGCTGACTTAATAAGCCAAGTCTTTAGTCTCATAACCTGTGAAACACCATTTCATATGCATAGTATATTTATCAACCAGAGTATTAAAATCCATTCATAGCCCAATATATGACAGATGAGAATGTAAGGTATATAACATATCTAAGTGCTAAGCGGGAGTATATGTACTATAGTACACAACGACATTATACTAATACATCGGAATGGTAATTCACACTTTAAATCATTATGAATACCATCAGTTCACACATACTGCCAAGAGTACTCAAATGTACTAATACAATAATGCATTAAATAGAATCAAGCGATGACCACTATACTGAAAGTATGTCAAGTGCACCTATGGCTCTCAATGTACATACAACAAACTTTTATATTTAAATTGCAAGGTTAACACTTGTTCAGAAATATCAATAGATGCTAAAATGTTATAAAAACACATCCATTTTTTTCAGGGCAGTTCATACCTAAAATCATTTATAAAATCATTCATGAACTTTATGAAAATATACATAATGCGTTAAAACATGTTTATTAAACACTCAAGGTTGACTCATTGCAAGTCTTCCTTATTTCATATAAGTACATAATAAAATGCACTCACCTGATATGCCTCACTATTTTGCCTTACTGTCGATATCCGATTACTCTTATACTTTTTCCTTGCCTTTTGATTTGCTCGTATCACGAGTTTAATCACGATCTACATAAGCATCCATAAACACACATACAAATATAAAATACATGTTAGTATTCTCACTAACATTTTATACACATAATAATACCAAATTATTACTACTATTTGTGAATTCTTTTAGAATTCATCGTTTTCTTTTAATGCTAAATGGTCCCTTGCCATTTTTCTTCATTTCAAATATCAAACAACTTAACTAAATTTCCAGCATTTAATTTATAGACCAATACCTCCACAATATCATTATTACCACTTAAGTCACTAACTTTCTCAATATCTACCATTTGATGCTCAAACTTTGTTAACTTCCCAAAATGGGCAAATTTCACATTCTAACATCAAATTCAACCCTTTAATATAAAATTCTAGCATAGTACATCAACTATTGAATAATTACACAATAACCTCATAACTTTTCAAAATTACTAAAATGGTCTACTAACTTTTGAAAAATTACAAAATGGTACCAAAATTTTTCTAAGGCTTATATAACATTCCAAACATCATTTCTAAGCCATGAGAATTTTTTCACAATTTTCCCCAACATTCACCTTGAGGCCAAACACTATAAGGGTTCAATTTCCTTGATTTTCACTTGATTCAAGCATGAAATCAACCTCTATTCATCATTTCAAAACCTCTACAATCAAAACCCTCACTTAATTTCATCAAATCACAATTTTTCCCCAAACTTAGGGT